GTTCTACGCGTTGATGGTCAAAGGATCGCTTGACGATTCTTGGTAGAATGGCTTCTTGGCCATTTGATATTTTCGGAGGCAATTGCGAGATCTAGAAATTTTGCGAATGGATGGCAAAATGGCCCTTGGGTCGCCATTTGATATTTTTGGAAGCAGTTTCTTGATTCTTCAATTTTGCTAATGTATACGGGTAGTTGATGTCCTTTATTAACCTGTTCACTGCATCTTTTCGGTATCTTGTACACAATTTTTTTTCCATAAATCAAAGTCCAATAATCATTTTATGACTATTGAAAACGGTTTTTTAAATATTTTTGTTTATAATGAACTTTTAAGGAATTTTTGTTTATAAATGTGTTTGGTCACGATAAATAACGAAGTCATAGTAACACCGTTTTTCTAATGCTTGGATGTCATTTGAAGAAGTTTCGCACTACCGATCGTCAGGAAATTGTTCCAGATATTGTCACTAAAGTGATAAAGTCAACTGTAGTGGAAAAATGCAGTTAGTGGATTAATATTTTTGGAAGCTACGTTATATTTGATTCCTAAGTTCTATGAATGAACGCAGTTAATTAGTGTTGGATTGTTGCAAAAATTGTGTTAGAAAATTCAGTTGATAAGTAGGTGTAACGTAGAGGGCACAATCTTTCGTTTACAAAAATAAATACTACGAAAAACTTGCCCATTTGTCGAAAAAAAAATTTATAATAGAACAGAGCCTCCCTTATCCGAACTAATATAGTGATACAAGTGTTCGAATAAAGGAATTTTCAGATAACAGAACAATCACTTTTATGATATTGAACTTTATTTATTTAAATAGTTCGTTGAAATATTTATGTTCGGATAACAGAACGTTCGGATAGTAGAAGGTTTGATCATTAGGGTATTCGGATACGAGAGGTTATACTGTATTTCTTTGGATTATTTGTCGCAGACCTAAATAGCACTATTCACCAAAAAGATATTTAGTTTGTTATTCCGAATGTGTTGAAAATCCTCAGAAAATGAATCGGTGCTAAGATCGTTCATCCAGATCCCCTATCATTCGACCTTTTGTTTAAACGTTAATAAAAAAGAAGTTCGTTTAAATATTTATATTAGGATAACAGGATTGTTGTAATATTAATTTTTGGACAAACATAAATATTATGTTGGATTTTAAGTAGTAGAAGGTTCGATCATTAGGGTATTCGGATACGGACAGTTAACACTTAATAACACTGCATATTCACTGAGAAGATGTTTAATTTATTATTCTGAATGTGTTAAGTATCCTCAGAAAATAAAGTGGTGTTAAGATCGGTCATCCAGATCCTCTATCATTCGATCTTTTTTAAGGGATTTCTGTATTTATGGAACGCCCTGTAGAAGGACGCCTGAGGGGTGCGCCGGCTGTGAACCCTTCTCAGATTCCCCGTGATGCAGGTAGAAAATTCGTGTGCCCACGATGAAAAGGGCAAACAACTCACAGGACGGAATTCCCGTGAACGGATCGTGCTGGGGAAGAGGGATCGTCGCTAACAAGGGCCTGCTTATTATTTCAAGTGCCTACGGTACTCTTTCGCTGGGTCAACCGAGTGACACTCAATTGTATTAAGAGCTACAAGAACCGATTGTGCCTGATTGTTACATTCGAGATCTGTTTACTTGTAATACACACGTGGACAAAAAAAGAAGTATACTGGCTGAAAGAGAGCATGGTCATTAAATCGATTGGGAGCTAGAGGGTATAAGTGGAATTTAGGGTTAACGAGCCTTTTTTTTGTCAAACAGGGATCCCATATGGAATTACGGAACATCACTAAGATTCTATGTAAAAACTGTAGAAAAACGTATGATATTCAATGTTGGTAGTCTTTTTAGATGTATTTCTGGTATTTCATGCGAAATCCTATTTGAGTGAATATTCTTTGTCAGTGTAACATAGCAAGTAGTCAAATAACTCAATAGGGTGAAATGATCGACACATAGAATTAAGGGTCATTTTCATGCAAAATTGACCTCAATAGAAAATCTACCACTTCAGTTGAAGAAATGTCGACATTTTGGAAATCTGTGAACATCTAACCTAGAAAACAGTTTGTTTTATCCTTCATTTTTTGGGTAAATACAAAGTATGCTATTCCATTTAAAAAGTGACAACAATCTTGCCAAGGATAGATTTCTAGGTCTAACCTAAAAAACAGATTTTTTTCTCTCTCATTTCTTGGAGGAACAAAGAGTATACCACTCCGTTTAAAAAATTACGAAAATCTTGAAGTCTCGTTAGAACATAACCTAAAACCTAGTACAGCTTCATAGCAATTTTAGCTCTTCTCTGGGAAACAATTTTTTCCCCTGGAATTTCTCAAGCAAGACATAACCCAGATAACACATGACGCCTTAAAGACGCTTATTTTACGGCTATTTTAGGTCTAAGGCGTCTTTAAGCTGTCTTCAAGGCGTCATGTGCTGTCTGGGAATAGATATTTAATGATTATAGTATTTTAAATGTATTTCAGTTAACAAAAACTATTTTAACATGTCTATATCCAATGCTAATCCATTTTATTGAACAACCTTTGCTAGTAATAGCATTACACATAGCTGAGCAAATCACATAAGTGTAACTCAAAATAACCTGTAACATTAATCCTATGTCGAAATAGACTCAACGTTTAATCTTTTCACAATGACTGTATATTGTTAGAACGTGCTGTCAGCCTCACCTGAATAGAATGTATGCATAGCTTGACGTTATGTTCATATCGTGTGCCTCTGATGATTATCTTCTCTGTTATTGTCCATTCTATCAACAAATGCGTTTTCACTGAACTATTTATACACAACACATTTTAACAGTCCACTAGTTATTTGCCTTGTAACGTTTTACAACTTCATCATATGTAAATACAACCCTACACGTTCGTTGCAGGGGCCTATTAATAATGACTTACCATTCACGCCGTGTCACAGTGGGACAGATCGAAAAATTAAATGTTCACAACTGTTTTAACGTTATTTCAAGAATTAAGGACAATAATATTTTGGATTAAAATATTAACAAGGAGAGGTCACAGCTGTGGGGTCATCGATTTTAATCACGGTGGATCGGGTGGGTCGGAAATCACAGTATAACCGGAAAGTGATGATTTTAATTCTACATGAAAGAATAAGACAAAATTTTCATATAAAGTTTTTTCGTACAAGGCTTTGTTTTCGAGAAAATCCAATTTGTAGGTTGGGCAGGTACGCGTACAATTGAGTACGGCATGGCTATCGTATTATTATACGACAGTCACCTGTCTTTTCTTTGTGGATATATTTCTTTATACAAAAAATGAGATAGATAAAACGAAACCAGTAAATTTATTACATTGTAGACCAGGACCACATTGGGTAGCAAAGGGTTAGGGTACAGGTCCGAGTCAAAAGTGACCCTAACAATAATACTAGGATCAAACTCGACTTATCTGATCGTCTTACAGCCCAGGTTCATACCTCTATCTCCCCCAACCATGAAATTCCTTCGAAAACTCCACGGAACAATAAAATCCCAGGCGAGGAGTATAAAATGTCCCTACCTACCGCGTCGTGACCAGCGGCAGAAATAAATGAATTGTTCCGAGATATATACACGACTCTGGCCCCGGTCGTTCATCGTCCTCTGGCTTCGATCTTCATGAAGAAAGGATAGAACGTCCCATGGAACAGGTAAAAACGACTGGACCTGACGTTGTATTTCATTCACCGGTGCCTTGTCAGTTGTATCACCTGGCGGCCTTTATCTGGGATCTGACCGGTTAACCCACTTTTGTTAGAAGGGGGGGGGGGCGTGACAGATTGCTGGAAACCTAGAGAGTAGAGATTACCACTTTGGATGGCTCTCTCCTTCTCTTTCGAGAGAGAATTTTTCGAGTCGTCGGTTTTTCTCTAGACTATTTTTAATCTCGGATTACGATGAGACCAGCACCTTTTTCAGTGATCCTTGGAGCGGTAAACGCCTCCGAGGACACGGGGAATTAATCACATCACGATTATGGGTATCCCCCGGGACACATCGGGTGAAGATGGAGGTTCACTCCCACGAGGGTCTTCTCAGTTTCTTGACCTCTTCGTGTCTGTTTTTTCTTTTTTTAAGGAATTTTATTTGGTAGTTCCTCTGGGAAATTTAAGTTGATCTTATCCCTTTCTGTCATATAGACCCTTATAGCGTGTATGTATAGGGTGTCTGTTTTCAGCGAACTATATGGAATATCTAAATAGGAAGGAACTGATAATAGAAAAATAAAGTTCCAATAAAAGTTGTTTGGTATGGAGGGGGACATATAATTTTTTTGTAGATAGAGTGGTGGGGGATATTTCAAGGTCAAGTTACTTTTTTTTTTAATGGAATGCTGAATTTTTTTATTTATGATATTATAGGGTTTGCTGAGACGAGTTCAACAATGTGTTACTTATGATTAGACTGCGGATTTTTATGCAAAATGAAAGTCTCTACAGTAATTTATAAAGACAGGAACAATCGTAGAAATTTATTTTCCCTCTTAAGTATCTTATTGGGTTCAGAATAAAATAGAAAACTCGTTGTATCCGATGAAAGTTTTGTTTTTTATTATATTTCACAGAACCCTATAGGCTATAAATGCATAAAATCCGCAATCTACTTATGATCAATGAGTGTAGTTGGAGGTCCTAAATTAGTAATAACATAGTGAATTAACGTAATGACATAATAATTATCATACTAAATAATAATAATAAATGGCTACATAGAATTGTAACGCCAAGTGACTTCAAATTTGCTTGATTAATTTACCATCATATCTGGTGCTTCCTATGGACCACATGCTTCTCATGGTAAATAGTGCGTTATATTGAGGAAACACAAGAACTAAGTAAGAGAAAAAAGTTATTGCCTGAAAATTGCTTTATTTTTTAAAATACCTTCGAATATTTATGCAAATAAGTTGTGAAACTTTTAATTTAATGAATTTCTTTCAATTTTGTTGCAGATGATATTGTGCGAATTTCTACACGCAAGGAACTGCACTGGGGAGTCCTCAAAACTATTGTTTGGATACAATATTCTCCCTTGGATATGGAATGCATACAAAAAGGTATAGGGTAATATAATAATATACCTTTAATGAGACTTCCAAGGCGCATGCGCAAATAGAAAGGGTAGAAGTACACTATAACTCATAAATATTTGTCCTTCCATTGAAAAAAAGTTAACTGTTGTCCAGTTTATAATTTCACTTTGGGAGTTTTCAGTAAATGAAAATGGGATTCGACGCGAGCTCGTTTCTGCTGTTTTTAGATGGGAAAAAACTTATTATCTTGACCTAGTATTTTTGTTTGTTTATACAATGAGGAATAATAGTTGAGTTATATAATATATATTAATGCAAGTACAAAAAGTTTACTAAATAATAAAAAATATGTTGATGCGATAATAATAAAAAAAAAAATAAAAACTTTAGTGGGGACAGCACAAGAAGTTAAAAGATTAAACATCTAGACCAGAAGTTTCCTTTTTGGTTGTTTATATCCATTATAGAAAGCTGTTGTTAAACAAATATTTTTACATACAAGTATTATTCGTGAGTACAAGTAATTATAATTAAAAAGCTAATTGTTAATGTCCTTTATATTTCAGATCGGAATATTCGGTTTCGGTGCAGCCACGACAGTCTTTATCACAGATGTCGGAAAATATACGATTGGCCGTCTGAGACCCCACTTTATGACCCTCTGCGTGCCTAATATTAATTGTAGCCTAATCCAAAATCATCATCGATATATTGAAGGCTATACCTGTTCGGCAAGTCTCTCTGCGAATCTTTTGAAGGAGATCAGGTGAATATACTTATTTTTATTCATAAATAGACGTGAACAAATACGGGGCACAGAAAATTGGACACAAACTAGCGATTCCCATACTGCTCACAATTTGAGGAGCTAAGTGATTGGTATAGATGCATAAAATACTGCTTCAACAAGGGAAAGGTTGAACAAAATATTCATCAATAAATGCGAACAAATCCAAATCACAGAGATAGAACATAAACCGATGTCTTCCATACTGCTCACAATTTGGGGATCTCACCCAGGTAGCACATGACGCCTTGCAGACGGCTTAAAGATGTCTCACAAGGGAAGGCACGGAAGTGTCCCCCTCCGATTTTGATGAAACTTCGTATGTCTGTTAAGCAGTCAAAAATAAGGGATACGTATTTTTTTTATCGGCTGAGACGGGACTTTAAGGGGTGAAACCACGCCTCGAAGTTTCGACCCGAAAGTAGTGTCTCGAAAACCAGAGGACATACATGAAAACTTCTAATGGACGAGGTTTGTGGTTTGTTTATGTAGAATAATATGGTGCTAACAAATTGTCCAAAATATGGTTTGTTTATAACAAAAAAATTTCGGATCGAAACTGCGAGGGGTGGTTTCACCCCTTAAAGTCGCGTCTCAGCCGATAAAAAAAAATACGTATCCCTTATTTTTGACTGCTTAACAGACATACGAAGTTTCACAGAAATCTGAGGGGTACACTTCCGTGCCTTCCCTTGTAAGACCTAAAACAGCCGTAAAATGGGATTCTTCAAGGCGTTATGTGCAATCTGGGACTGATCGGTATGGAAGTATAGGATAATACTTCTCCAAGCTAAAAAGACTTGAGTAAATTATTCATCAATAGAGATGAAAAAAATGTAAAACAGATTAAGAATATGAAGCAGTGATTCCCATAGTGCTCGCAACTGGTATGTCCTTCAAGGAGATCACCTTTTCCAGGAACACCCTGTATATTTGTGACACTTGTACCACTTTATATCATCAGAAGTTTTATTCATCGAGCTTCAGTATCTCCTAAATAATTTATTTCACATCTTTTTTTGCGTTTCCTTCATATGCGATAAGTGTCCTAATACTTATGTATGGGAGTGTACACATAACGAATATCCAATAGTACAATACATGTGCAATTGTGATCATCAGTTTAGTGTAATAATTAATTAGAGAATTTTTAAGTATACAGTGATCCTTTGAGTACTCTATTATTCACACACTTTCATTACTCAGACATTTGTGTCCCTATTTTAATGCCAAAATGGAGGATTTCTATCCAGGAAGCATTTCAAAATTTCCATACAAATGAAATATCCCCACACAGATTAGTGTCTATTGCGTTCTAGATTGTTGCTTTAATTAAATGCAGCTTGATGCAAACTAAGTAAGATACACAAAAACAAAACTCGATAATTTCAACTAAATGAAAAATATTAATACCACGAAGATTGATATTAACTCCCGTATTTTTGGACGATAGTGTACGAGCACTCGAGCGTATCACGGGGTCGTCCGCTGTTACGTTTGTAGGGACAGTTTTGTGTATAGAAAGATTTCAGGAATCGACGATAAAAGCTCACAGAGAATTCATTCATGCTTCACCCACCCTCCCCGGTGTCTGCTCGGTCGAAGAGGGGACGCAGCATTCACCGATCTTCCGGTGTTCGTCTTCTTCTGTAGATCTTACAATTACGAGTTCCGTGAATCCTTTGGATCGGTACTAGATTATGCTTGTCAGAAATCGTATCATTGCTTCATTTAATAAACCTTGGTAGTGCATGCAGATAAAGGAAATAATCAGTAGTGAGCCCTTATCGAATCTCTTACTGTAAGAGAAAAAGCAATCAGCCTGATCAGGACCTATTGCTGTGTTGGGTCATTCCTTTGACTATTAAGCTAACTGGACCTTGGCAATGTAAAGATGGCTGCTAATTGTACCAGTTATACAGTAAATCCTCGATAAGTGTTCAAAGGCTCCTCGGCACTGATAAGCAGAGGTCCCCAGGTGTAATGCAGACTTTTTAATAAGGTTTAGCACAGTGATAGAGCTGGAAATTCTGAAGCTAATGATATTTGTTTCAGCTGCATATGGCCATTAGTTTATGAAATATTTCATGTTCAGTACCGAGGAGCTACCGAACACTCATCGAGGATTTACAATATTATGTATTTTATAGGTAGTGAGCGATCTTTAGCTGTCTATTATAGAAGACAACGGACCTACAGTCAAACCTAAAACCTCTTGGTTACTGAAAGACTGCTTTAGTAGCAATGCCACTATATCAATGTCAATTCGGTTCTTAATTCATATAACGTAAACAAACATTACTGTTGAATTCTAGCAATTACACTATGTACTTTATTGGTATTGAGCGATTTTCAACTGATCACTATTGGGGACAAAGTATATCTGCAATTTAACTCAGGATCTTTTGATTACTAAGACACTATTTTAGTAACAAAGCTATCGTGGCAATGTCGATTTTTTTCTTAATTCGTATGAGGTAAACAATTGTGGCTGCTGAATTCTACCAATGATATTATGTACTTCCTTGGTACTGAGCGTTCTTCAGCTATTCAGTATAGGAGACAAAGGACCTCAGTTTAACTCAGGACCTTTCGATTATTGGGTAACTGCTTTAACATCAGAGCCACCAAATCGATCTAAATCTTTCTCTTCATTCACATAACGTAAACAATGATAGCTATCGAATTCTACCAATGACATTATGTACTTCCTTGGTACTGAGCGATCCTCAGCTCTTCACTATAGGAGACAAAGGACTTAGAATCAAACCCAAGATCTTTCGATCACTGGGTAACTGCTTTAACAACCAAGCCCTAAACCGATCTAAATATTTCTCTTATTTCATACAACGTAAACAAAGATGGCTGCTGCACTATGTACCCAACAATTGGTAGGAGGCCCCACTGGGTCCTATCAATGGGCAGGACCCTTTCCACAAAAATAAATCGTAATAATAGCTCTCAAAGCTCAACAGACATTGTCACACGCGATCCCAAATCGACGAAAGCCCAGCAAAGACCAAACGATCAATAAACTTTTTTTAAACATATGTCATTGTATTCGAAAGTGTACATTTTAAAGTGCTTATACTAATTTCTTCAATGCAAAATATTAATAAATAGGGGAAATATCAACGATCTCCTGGCGGCGTTTTTATTTTAGACGTTTTGCGGTGACCACTGTAATTTCGAGTTCGTTTATCTAAAATAAAAAATCCGACCATATTTAGTTAATATATTAAATTGTCTAGTGCACGATCGTTCATTATCCTGAAAAGTTAATTTACGACAAAATGGCGGCTGTTCAAAATCGAACTATCGATTTTTGCCCAAAAAAATCGTTCATTTTTAATCTATAAAATAAAAACTACGCAATGAAATACCAAAAGCCACGATCAGGCGCTAGATTTTTATGTATAGAATGAGTCCACCAAAGCTGAATCAGTTCGGTGCAGCGGTTCTCGAGATATTTTAGTCACCGATTTTGAAAATGTGGTTTTGAGAAAAACACGTATAAGATTCAAGTCAGGTTTACAACCGAATCAATGCAAATTTGTTATATATATAGTTATTCTTAGTATTACGGCTTCATATACCTTTGTGTATTTACTAACACAACCATAAATTGCATTGGAGCACAGTATTCATGACTCACACACCCCTAGAAAGGGATTCTACCACTTTATATCTGCTCCGAAACTTCCAAGGCCGTATACTTTAAACGGGCATAACTCCGCCAATTTTTGTCGGATCGACATCAAACTTTCACACAATATTTCTAAAATGATGTACTGTAAGAACATATTGAACCCAAAAATCAATTATTTCAAAATTTATAGGTAGGTATAACCCCTTAAGGGGTCATGCTCAGTCAGGAGGCCGAAAAAAGAGTGTTCTTTGGGAATTTTTTCTCAAAAACTATAAGACCTTTTTCAAAAAATGTGTTTGTATTTCAAAGATTGCAGTTTTTAGATTATAAGGTAATTTTTTCATTTAAAAATATTTATTAGTAAATAAATGGGGAGCGTTCTCCCGGATGTATCTTCACAAAAAGTGGTCTGCTGTGATCACTGTAACTGCGTAACAGTTCATCTGAAATAAAAAATTCAGAAAGATTTATGTAATGGAAGAACCAATCTTGTCCTTGAATGTGGGGTTTTTCGAAATATTGATTAGAAACGAGATGGCGGATATTTTCCTGAAAAAGTGCGATTTTCACCTAAAAATCACTCGTTTTTGGCCAATTAAAAAGGAAAAGTATGGAACGAAAAAAAAATCCTTCGTTCAAGAACAAGGTTTTCTGATTTGAAATAAGGCGCAAAAGGTTTCATATAAATCGACACAGTAGTTCTCGAGAAATATTTATCACCGATTTGAAAAATGTAGTTTTAAGAAAAACGCGTTTAAAGTTTCAAGTCAAGTATAAAATGTTTATTTTTTAACGCCTGTAACTCTGTCATTTTTAATTGGATTACCTTGAAACTTGCACAGAATATTCTCGAGATATTGTACTTAAAGAAAATGTAGAAAGGGAACAATCGATTTTTTGAAAATTTCTGACTGAGCATGACCCCTTAAGAAGAATGTCTACCTAGAGCGCGTCCTGGAGAAGGTATCCTAACTGGGCGGCGTCTGAATGAACCCAGGGTGGAAAAATGCGAACGCGCGAATCGTTAATATGGTGCCCATTGTAGCCAACAGTGACAATGACTATGGGTGTGTTCACGGCGGCGGCAGTCCGGCCGTGTAATAATGTTTCCATTGCAACAGGGAGGGGCAGGGGGGAACCGTTTTGATTCGGATCGAATCCCGTTCATGCGAATCGCCACTGTGCAGCGCGCAGACCTTCCCTCATTGTCATTTGCTGCTACCGACGGCCCTTTTTTTTTGCTCGTATCCGTTGAAACCGGCTCGAGGTACTCTCCCGGCAAAAAATCGACGAAATTCCGTTGCGCATCGTGAAACCACGGGATGATGGATGATCGATGGACAGAAAGGGATCGACGGACCTTTATTTGGAATGATCGTAGTTGGGTAAATTAAAAAAAAAAACGATATATCTAATGCTATTTTTAATAAATTGTAATATTTAATCAAAAATAGTATCTTAAATGAAGTTAACGAATGAATAATATTTTAAATACAAATGGTAAACGGATTTTAACTAGATAATTTATTTTTGATAAATGCTACGTAATAAAGATTGATATTTTAAATAAAATTAACACTGTACGTACCAAAGCCTTCAGAAAGGTAGGAATTTGAACGGCAAAACCGGTCATCTGACGAGTTGTGGTAGATTTTGTGTTAAATAATAGATATCTTAAATAATAAATAATGTATTAAAGAATATATTATAAATGATTCAAATAAAATAGTATTTTAAATAGGTAATTGATTTTGAATAAAAAGCAATATTTTCAATAAAATTAGATAATGAATAACATCTTAAATAACAAATAATATCTTAAGTATTAAATGGTAAATCGTTTAAATAAAATAATATCTTAAAGAGATAATTAATTTTTCATAAATATTAGCTACTGAATAATGTCTTAAATAACAAATACGATTTTAAATAACATATGGTAAACTGTTCAAATAAAATAATATTTTAAGTAGGTAATTAATTTTGTATAAAAAAAATAATATTTTTAACAAAATTCCATATGTTCGAAAAAAAGAGTTTGACAACCAAGGATTAATATATGTGTCTTTCTATTGCTTATAAATCAACCTTCATAAGATTCGACTAGCAACAAACATCCCCTCCCTAAATCATCAATATTAAAACATAGCATATTTTTACCACTGCACAAACATCCAAAGTCCTATAATACTAAGAAATCCTATTCCACCGACTGTTGCCCTCGACCGTTACTCAAAGTAAACACAATTAAGATTAAATAATACGTTCCGACGGCTACTTCCCCGAAGAAGACACGCTTAAAACGAAGAAAAAGAAGGAAACACATGAGGGAGGTGGTGGGGGGGGGGCAGATAATATCCGATTAAAGCAGCTTCTTTGATGCCCAATTACTCTCACAGATAGAAGTCCACGGGTCCACTTAACCTCTTCCTTTTTCCTTCCTCCGTTTCTCTCTTGTTTTTCTTTTTATATTTCTGGCTATGATCGAAGGCTTCCCCCCCCCCCTCGATGGATCTTTACGATCCACGCTCCGGGGTACATACACGTCCACCGATTGTAATCGGCACCGGGAACACGCCCCGGAATTAATTCTGATAAAATTAATAGGATCCCATTACGGGGACGCGTGTGCGCGTCGAATATAATATAACGGAAATTTTGTTGCACTGTAGATGAATGGGATTTATTCGACACCGTAACGATTTATGAACGTTGATCGTTTTCAGATTATCATTCCCCTCTGGACACTCGTCCTTTTCTGCCTACACGATGGTCTACCTTGCGGTGAGTACCTTATTCTTTTTATTCTTTTTGGTTATGTTTTTCATTTTTGAAAATTTCTTGGCGGGAAGAAACGGCGATCCGTCGCGAATAATTATTTATTAGACTGTTGCGTGTGTCGAGTGTCGTTTTTGGTTGATCAAATTACAGGGCTCGTTGCCATATTTTTTGGACTGCTCTGCGTTATTCATGTACAATGTATATCATTTAAATATATAGGGTGTCCAAGTTAAATCGACCCACTCGAATATCTTCGAAACTGTTGACGATGTTCAGAAATGTTTCGGACAAAAGTTAAATGGTATCAGAGAACACACTTTCTGAGGTGAGTAACTTTTCTGTGTTGACGCGCAGAGGTCATATGAAGGTCAACTATGTTTTTTTAAACGGAATCGTATATTTTTTTAATACATTACTTGATTATACTTACAAATATTCGATTCCATTAAAAAAAAAAAAAAAAATTGACCTTCGTATAACCTCTACGCGTCCACATAGAAGGAAGTTACTCAACATTTTTTGCTTAACATTTTTTAATATCGTCAATAGTTTTGGAGATATTCGAGTGGGTCCATTTAAATGGGACACCCTGTATACTGTATAATATAAAATGGAAAAAAGGCCAAGAGAAAAGTTGAAGGAAGACGTAATTTGAATTTGACAAAAACTTATAGGTAGATAGATATTATTGGTTCTAACCTCAAAGACCAAATAATGCATTTGATTTAGATAATACAGGTGCGAATACAAGTACAAAATAAGATAAATGCAAATAGATAAATGTATACCTTCTTGACTCACACGTGTTCATCTTTTATATTCTTTACATTTCTCATCGAGTGTCGTAAGTCATATATTGCGTAATACTTACCTAGTATCTCTCCTTATCTAATACCGTAACTCTCTTGTTATTTATCTAATAACAGTATCTAATGGCTCTGTAACTTGATTCACACATTCTTTCTCATAGAATAAGATAGATTTTGGAAAGATAGTCAATTTATTGCAAAATAACTTTTTATTTAAACGCTCATTTTTTAAATATTTTATTCATGTCGCTTCAAAAATACTTTTTTCATCATCCAATTTTCTACGAATAAATAGATATATACAGGGTGTTCGACAACTAGTGGGAAGAAATTTAAGGGGTGATTCTTTGAGGCAAAATAAGACGAAAATCAAGAATAACGAAATTGCGAAAAATGCTTTGTTTGTTAGTTATAAGCGTTTAAAAATGGACCCAAATCATGGCAATCCGCGCGCACAGAGTGTCAGCGGATCACGGCTCATCAGGGGCGTACAGTCACTTTAAAGACTCAACGGCGTGCAGGAAAAGTCGGTAGAACAGCTGTTTACTTACCCCGTAGAAGATGTCGATAACTTGTGTCGCGGTATTTGAGTCGAATATACCTGTATCGCATTAACTCTGATTACTCGATAAAATTCGCAAGAAATGTAAATATCTTCTTACGAATATTATCGATTAGAGAGGCTTAATGCCCCCTCTAGTTGTCACGTATCACAATTGTCCTGAGAACCCCCAACTAGAGTGGGCATTAACCCTTTCTACTCGATAATATTCGTAAGAAGATATTTACATTTCTTGCGAATTTTATCGAATAATCAGAGTTAATGCGATACAGATGGATTCGACTCAAATACCGCGGACACAAGTTATCGATATCTTCTACGGGGTAAGTAGACAGCTGTTCTACCGACTTTTCCTGCACGTCGTTGAGTCTTTAAAGTGACTGTATGCCTCTGATGAGCCGTGATCCGCTGACACTCCGTGCGCGCGGATTGCTATGATTTGAATCAATTTTTAAACGCTTATAACTAACAAACGAAGCATGTTTAGCAATTTCGTTATTCTTGATTTTCGTCTTATTTTGCCTCAAAGAATCACCCCTTAAATTTTTTCCCATTAGTTGTGGAACACCCTGTATATATACATACATAGTCACAAGTTAATATCTTTAAGCTAGTAGAGGTGATTCTACACATGAGAATAAGACGAAAATCAAGAATGGCAAAATTTCGTTGGACGCTTCGTTTCCGAGTTATTAATTCTTAAAGGTACGGGTGAAAAACGTCCGACGCGAAAGGTTACTTAGGCTACTGCTGGCGCACGTCAGCCAACTAAATCACGTGCGCAGGCAGTGCCGTAACCACTTAAAAAGAACCCACTTGGTTGAAGTGGTGATATACGGACGGTACAAGATACTGCAGTAGTCTTTTTTCAAGTAGCTCTCGCGTCAAACGTTTTTCACTCGTATATTCAACAATTAATAATTCAGAAATAAAGCTTCCACCGCAATTTTGTTATTCTTGATTTTCTCTGCTGATTTCTATAATTTCTATACTTTCGAAATGGCATGTGCGCGAACAGTTTCTTCAGATAAATGGGATTCTTCCTTTTAACACGTTCTGTGCCTCGTGAGTCACCGGTGACTTACGCTGGAATTGCCGTTCAGGCTATTTGATACTTTGTTTATAATAAGAACCAAAATTAATAATAATTTTTGTAATTTTGTGACCAAATACAATGAATATACTAGGTGGGTTACAGGAGACCCACGCGGCCTGGAATATTACATATAATTTATTAACAAGAAACTTAAATTAAAAAAATTAATTGACTTAGAAGGAAAGGCACTGAAGTGTTCACCTCCGAGTTTGATGAAACTTCGTATGGATATTAAATAATCAAAAATAAGAGATACGTATTTTTTTTATCGGCCGAGACGCGACTCTAAGGGGAGAAACCACCCCTCGAAGTTTCGACCCGAAAGTACTATTTCGAAAATCAGAAGGGATACATGAAAACTTCTAATAGACGAAGTTTGCGATTTTTTATGTAAAATAATATGGTGCTAACAAATTGTCCAAAATATAATTTGTTTAAAATCAAAGAATTTCGGATCGAAACTTCGAGGGGTGGTTTCACCCCTTAAAGTAACGTCTTAGACGATAAAAAGAAATACGTATCCCTTATTTTTGACTGCTTAACAGACATACGAAGTTTTATCAAAATCGGAGGGGGGCACTTCCATGCCTTCCCTTGTTAGTAATAAATAAAAACTTTTATTAAATAACTAAAATAACTTATTAACTTAAAAAAAGTTAGGCTGTTCAAGTGAACAGTATTATATAGAATTTGCTTTATTTTTCTTCTTTCAGCTGTACCTCCAGGTGAGAATGACATGGAAGGGTAGCAAATTACTGAAACACTTCCTCCAGTTGGTGTGCCTCTTTATGGCCTGGTATACGGCTCTATCGCGTGTTTCCGATTACAAACATCACTGGAGCGACGTGCTGGCCGGTTCGACCCTTGGTATCGTCGTGGCGCTAGTCATGGTGAGCATTATTCTTCTTAACTTTCCTATTGTACGATCATAAATCACGCTCGATCATAAATATGAAATAGGCGAGGCATCCGAGCTCCGAGCTTTTACGATCCCCGTCGTCTCTGGTTAACAGTGTAGCGAAATAAAACGACACTGGTGTCAGATTTGGAAATTTTCAAAAATCAATTTTTCTTTAAATAGAATCAATCGAGTAGTCAAATGTAAACAAATAAATCAATTTTGTATAAAATATTTAATGAAATTTAATATCAACTAGAAAGTTTAGAATGTGTATTGTATAAACAAATGATTTGCTGAATTTATTCGTAATGTTTTGAAGAGCTATTTTATTAAATTCTACATATTTTTATTTAGTCGTGGCAATTCAAAAGAATTTATATACATTTAAAATTTTCAAACGATGTACTATTTTTTATTCAAATAACATCTAATTTAAATTATAAGCAATATATTTAATTTAATTACTTATACATAGAAAAATTACCAACGTATATAGGGGTTCCCACCTAACACGAACATCTTCAACATCTTACTTGTTTTTGAAGATACAAAAGAATGTGAGGGAAAGTATTATTTGGTTAGAAGGAGCAAATAGTATGATAAGCAAACATTGTTCGCAAGGTCATATTTTTAGAATCTTCAAGGTGATCGATGTTTTTTTAATTGAGACTACATGTTTTTATCAGTGTGGCGTAATAGTTGAGATCGAGACCAATTCAATGATCTATACTAGTGTGACCTTCATGTGACCTCGAGTACAAAAAATCCACAAATGCATGAGAGTAGATGCAATTAATTAAATAACTACGATAGACAGATTAGTGCAAAAATGTATCGAATTAATGGACCTAACTTTGAGCATTTATTAAAAGAATAGTTCTGCAAATCAAAAGCAAGTCAGTTACTAAAGGTGCTCATGTTAAGTGGGACACCCTGTATTAAACAATAGTAAAATCATAATAAACAATAATTATTTATCATTACTTCAAAAAACTGATAATTATTAGGTTGGTGATAAATTAATTAGAAACAATATCTTTATTAATATATATTTCACATTTATATTCATATCATGGGTGTAGCCAAGGGAGGGTACAGGTAGGGCCACTTGCGCCCCCCCTCCCCCTAGAGAGAAAAAAACCTTTGCCCTACCCTACAGGAAAAAATTGAATTTAACTGTTCCTCCCTCCAAGAGGAGAAAATATTACATTGTATTAACCAATATTTTGTATGTAAACATAAATCGAGAATCCATTTGAAGTAATATCATGAAATTTACCTTAAAATAAATTTTGTCCCCCCTCCCCCGACCGATAACCTGGCTACGCCCGTGATTCCTCTTAATATCAATATCGTTCCAGTTCCTATTCAACAAAATTCCGTTGATCGGCGCAACATAACCTCTAAAAGCGATTCCGATCGGGAACCAAACGCGTAAATCATTCATCAATCATACCTTAAAATGCAACACACGAGACCAAAGGTGATTTGTGATTTCGAAATTGTTCGTAGGCGATCTACGTGGCGAACCTGTTCAAGGATCGTAGACATTGCCCGACCGACGAGAAGCACCGCGCGGCCGACTACGAGACCGGGGCTGGTACACAGGTGAATAATGGCACTAGTAATCACAACTGTTGACCTAACGAGCTCGCTCTTCGCTTGCTGACCACAACAAGGCCGTGACTGTCTTCTAGTTGTCTCTGGGAAGCTAGCCCGATCTCAGGGAACAAGGAACGACGTTCTAATTCGTCGTCAAATCGTTCCAATCCGGACAGCAATACTGCCTTAACCCCGCTGGGACCGCTGATCATCATCTTCTCGACGACACTCTCCTAAGACGTTCAACATCTGTCCGCGTCATCATCATCATCGGGGAGATTCCCATCCCCCATCCCCACTGGTTGCCCCCTTTGCTCGGTCTAGCTTTGCCTGGTCGGTCGAACGTTTGCTGGAAGAAGTTCACGCAGCGAGGAGCGACGATTCGATTTTGTGTTGTTCATTGTCCCAGCTTTTTAGGCGTCTGATAATCTTGGTGACCCTTTTTCTACGAGGTACTCAGTGTCTGGTGCGTGGGACGTGATTGTGCATTTTTTCGTCCTGAAGCGTGGAAGCTCTGTTAGTGTCTACAAAGCTGAGCTACTAGTGCTAGTTAGTCCGCTACTTTGTATTTATTTGCATTTAGGCCGGGTACTGGAATGTTGTCCAATGTATAGTTGAAGGTTTCTTGCTTGAATCACCTCATTTTACGTCTATTAGCTCCCTCACTTGATCAGAATTTATTGTCGCCATCAATTTTCTTATTCCACTTCTGTCAATTATCTTCTAGTTCCATCAATTTGCCACCCCAAGTTTCTGTTCTTTGCCTCCTGTAACTCCCCTATCCCGCCTACAGCAATTTCCTCATTTTGTCTCCCTTAGTTTCACTTCTCTGTCTCTTTTAGCCACTAATAGATCTGCCACTTTACCTCTGATAATGCTGTCAACCTTCCTCCATTGTTTCTCCCACTCTCCCAATGTTAGTTTCCCTATTAGTTCAGCATTACTCTCATCTCACTTCGATCTACTTAAGATGCAACACTGAAAGGAATAGAACCTCAATCATTGGGCATCATTGAAATAGGTACTGCATTTCTCCATCTGTTGATGGGAAGTCTGAAGATTACACTTTGAAAGAACGTGGGATATAAACCTCCTGAACCTGACACACGAGGCTTCTCGATGATTCATGTCGTTGCCAGGTTTATGTTCCTAGCTACTACCACGATAGAAATCAGAAGCTGCTAGGGGCTCGATTCTAGCAACAGCATGAATAATTGATAGGCATTGTACACTGATGTATCTGTGACTTAGGCTACTACCTTATCGACGGTTCCATTACTTTATGGCCCCATTCGTTGTCAGGTCCAATCTTCTCATCTTCTATTAGCAGGCTGAACCACTGACAGCAGCGCCGCCAAGTGGTATTTGACGTTTCAATACCATATTAAAACCCACAGATCTTGAAGACACAATCATAGGAATACAGTTACTTTATCCTGAACGAGTGACATCTATACCACTTGATCAGTTACCAATTTAAATTTGAGAGGATGTAATAAGAAAAGGTAGAGAATGTGTAAATATGACCCAGTATATGCAACAGACACTGAGTGGCTTCCTTGAAGAGGTTTTTATTTCGTCCATGTTATCCCCTTCTGTGGGGTCTCATTATACATAGGTCTTATTTTATGCGTTAATTGGGATGGAACTTTTTTTTTAATCATCGGGTCGTGTGATACGTACAAACGTTGTATACGTACGAGGGTCGACATGGTTGTTTTTAGCGAAGCAGCACGGAGGCGATGCTATTGTATAGACGGAGCCGTGTTCGTAGTTTCGGCGAGGATGTATTTATTTCTTGTTGAGTACTATTTATTTATATGCGCTAATGGGTAAGTGGCGATTTTTGTTACCCCCTTGATGGGGGGTATTGCTTGTTGTATACAATGTACCCAATAGATTGGCGCCACGAGAGGGGAATACGCTTCCCTTCCCCCGCTTCCACACCCCTGCGCAACGGGAATGCGCAGAAGCAACGAGTCAAAATGAACAGTGATGGTAGTTTAATAACTTTACTAATATTTAAATAGGATGACCAAGTACTTTATCGACCAAATAGAAGTATTTCCGAGAATGAAAGGATTTCTAACAATAATTAAAATTATGCAAATTTATGAACATCTATTTATTAATCTACATACTCATTTTATTATGTTGATAGACATCTATTTAAGAAGTATTAAAGAAAGTTAACAAAAGAATTATCTTTTGAGTAATTAGTAAGAAATATCTTTTTTCTAAAAAATAGAAAATAGTATAAAAACCATTTATGGAAATCCTACTTCTATAATTATTACTTCTTACCTCTTACTTCTTAAATTGTCTCTTCCAGACGTAGAATACTGTTTACTATATGCATAATAAATGCATTACTTACTACATATTAATAATATATATGTTCAATGAGATTCGATGAATAAACAAATTTGAAGTACATTTGAACAAGGTTATGGTAAGGTCTAATTACTCTGCATAGGTTCATAGTATGCAAGAGAAGAAACATAAAAATATAAAAATTTAAGGATCATATATAGGGTAAATAAGGTATTAAAATATATACTCGATATATAGATATAAATAAAAAATGCAGAAAGTCATTGTAATCTTTTAACTGTAAATTTACTTATTTGAACGTAATAGTTGTTGAGAAAGTACTCTTTTTATGAGGAAATATAAAAAAAGTGCGGAAAAGAAGAAAGCATATTCCCCTCAGGCGGCACGGATCTATTGGGCAGGGTGTACGTAGCTCTTATACTGATGGAAGTCGACGAAAGAATCGACCTAATTAATGGGAGAAGTTCCACGAACTAAGCCCCCATTCCTTATCTTACTACTGCTGTCCTAGACAGTTCTAGTGGAGTATTTGAAACATTTTATAGGTTAGAAACCTAAAAATTCAAGATTAGGGTCCATTTTGTATTTATAGTTTAACGGTCGGTAAAATACTGTTTGGTCTCGACCAAGCAAAATATTTCATTTGTGAATTTGCATTTAAGTATGAAGTAATTCATAACTGGTAGTTAAATATTATTATAATTTAATAATAATAATTGAAATATAAATTTACTTCATTTATAACTAATGAATGATATTAACAAATCGAAGTACTAAGTACTTTAAATGAAACATTACACATATGAAGTAGTGTTTCGTTTAAACAATTATTCAAATAAAAATTTCATTTCACGTTTAAATCAAGTTCATTATATATTAAATAATAAAAATGAATTTTAGATTCATTTCGATAAAATTCAACAGTACTTATACAGAAAAAAATAGTTGTGGATTGCTCAAATCCGTCACTACTTTAGTTGAATACAAGGAATGAAACAGGTCAAGGAATCGAATGAGAAACAAAAAATTGTTATAAAAACTGAATAGTATACTTGTACAAATGTAGGCACTAGATGTTCAAACCCATCAGTACTTTGGTATAACGCTATAGAACTGTAAACATTCGAGTAATAAGCCAAGTGACAAGTGGTAAAAGATCTCTCCGCTCCTAAATGGAACAATAATTGTACAACAAATACAGTTGCGAGTTGTTCGAACTCCTCGCTATTTTTGTCTAATACACTCAAACTGAATATTCGAGTCATAGATCCAAAAATTAAGTACTAAAGGTCACTCTTAATCAGAATTGAGCAATAATTTTAATAACATATATTCAATAGATTTTTGCCTTCATTTGTTGTTGCTAAACTGTGAGTAATCGAATAATAAGTCAAGAAATTATGTGGATGAAGAATTCTTCACATCTGAAACAAAAACAGTAGTTGAAAAACAAATGCACGTACCTATGAGATGCTCAAACTTATCAGCACCTTCGTTTAACACCTGAACGTTATGAATATATAAATCACACGTCAAAAATCCAAATAGAGGAAGAATTCTCCTGACTAAAATCGTAACTGTATAAACAAACTTATTCGCGAGATGTGCAAACCCATCACTATTTCCACTTAACACTATCAGTCTGTTAACATTTGAGTCATATGTAAAAAAAACTAAATAGGAAAAGATCTACCTTCACTAAAATGGAATAATAATTTTAAAAAGAAATACACTTGCGAGGTGTTCGAACCAGTCGCTATTTTCATCTATGACAACTATACAATGCATAAAAAAAGTATTAACATACCCAGGTTGTTTATAACAAATATATTGAATAAACTGAAAAATAGAATATAATGATAAAAGCAAATTGTTTGAAAACTTATTAGGACTGAAGATAAAGTAATAGAAATTTATGACATAATGTAAGAACTTATAAAATCATTTCAAAGAAGTCAGTGTACACCAACACTATTTTTATTCACAATAACCTAGAAATTAAATCTCAGAAGAAATCAAACAGTATTTACAAAAACAAGATATACTCGCGAGTTGTCCGAACCCGTCACTATTTTTGTCCACCACTAACAGTTTTGACGCTCACTGGATGAAAAACGATTGGCGGGCGGGTGTCTCCCAAGTCTATTCTTTCGTCAACCGAACTGCAACAGATAAACCACGAGTTTGCAATTTATTCTTATACTATACATATACTTTAAATAGTTATTAATTGTTGGCCTTTTGGTGCTCTCGATCGCTTGATCCTATTACAATTGCTTGTTATTTACTTTAGATACACGAATATATATACTTAAGCAAATACGAGATGCGATGTTTGCCCGATTCGTTTCGATTCTTTTTTTTAAATTTCTAGGTATTGATCGTTATCATATATAATGCATATATTTTATGTTTATTAAAATGCGTACGAAGTGACTAAACTATAGACTAAGGATTCCGAATTCGATTGCGCGGATACAATTGGACAGAATAATTTGCTCAGTGCGACTTCTGGATCCGCTTGCACAATATAGTCGATCACAAACGAAAAAATGTTCATGACAAAAGCGAAATACAATGAAGTGGCATTAACTGCGCGTAGCCCGGGACCTCATGCGCGCAGTAAACGTGGATTGTCATCATTTGACCCTCGAAAAGCTAAGAATCGAGAC